AGAGAGGAGAGAGGGAGAGGGAGAGGGGGAGGGAGGGAGGGAGGGAGGGAGGGGAGAGAGAGAGAGAGAGAGAGAGAGAGAGAGAGAGAGAGAGAGAGAGAGAGAGAGAGAGAGAGAGAGAGGGAGGATGTAGGGAGAGAGAGATAAATAGAGAGAGAGAGAGAGAGAGAGAGAGAGAGAGAGAGAGAGAGAGAGAGAGAGAGAGAGAGAGAGAGAGAGAGAGAGAGAGAGAGAGAGAGAGAGAGAGAGAGCGAGGAGAGATGAGAGAGAGAGAGAGAGAGAGAGAGAGAGAGAGAGAGAGAGAGAGAGAGAGAGAGAGAGAGAGAGAGCGAGAGAGATGAGAGAGAGAGAGAGAGAGAGAGAGAGAGAGAGAGAGAGAGGAGAGATGAGAGAAGGGGAGAAAGGGTGATAGAGAAGGCAACCGAGTGAGAGAAAACAAAATATAAGAGGAAAAAAAACGCCAGAGATAAACAGGCAAGCTGATTATCTTCCAAAAGTAGAAAGTGTCATTCCGCAGAAAATCATAACAAAGGAGGGGAAAAAAAAAGAAAATCTTCTTCTGAGCAGTCGACATGTCTTAAGAAAAAAAAGAAAAGAAAACAGACAGACAGAAAAAAATAAATAATAATAAAAAAAATAAAACGAAAAAAAAAATGTGATTAAAATAAATTCCGTCTAGCTTCTATTCACATTTCAGAAAAAAAACACAAACACAATCTCAAGCAGTTTTGGAAAATCACACGTCCCATAAACTCCGATAACTAATACCGTTGATCGATAACTTTGACTCCGTTTATCTTTTTTTTTTAAGTGAAGTGGTATTGAACTCTACGCACACAACACCACAGACGTTCGGATTCTAGTCAAGTAGTGGTGCCATAACCTGAACGCTGTGTAGATTGTGTCACTTATTGGGAATTTTAGATTACAGGAAGGGTAGATGTAGCGGACTGATTTTTTTTTTTAAGATATAGAAAAAGAGGGGGATATAGATATACTATATTAGAACATAAGCCAATACGTTATTTATGATGTAATATATGTTGTTATTAAAACGGTTTTCCTAATTAGTTATTTTTATTAACTTTATCCTTTTCCTTTGTTTTGATCTAGAATTAAAACTAAAAAAGAAAAAGAAAGAAAAAAAACGCTAAATTCTGTAACAGTGAATAAATGTTTCCCACAGAAAGAACGAGATATTTAGCCAATACGAATAAAAAATATAACGTGAGAGAGTAAAAATTATATTGCTATTGTCATGATATTGCCATCAATGATTAATCATATTTTCAAGTAATATTATCAGTAAAAAAAAATAATAATAATAATGGTGATATAAGGATTTCTAAATAATAAAGATAATAATGTTGTGAGAATTAATTGTTGACAAACTAGCAATTGTATCATATATTAACACGTCAGTATTTTTTTGATATGATAATAATGATCATAATAATGAAAATGACAATGAGGATGGTAATGTTGATGATAATGAGGAGTAAAGAGATAATAATGATAATAATGATAATAGCACTATTAACAATTCTCAGAATACTAATGATAGTAACATTAACGATTATGATAATAATGATATTCATAATAATGATCAAGTACGTAATGATAGAAAAAAATGATCGTACTAAAATGGCAATAACAACTTTCATAATAATAACGATAATAGTGATATTAATAACGATGATAATCATGATGGTATTAAGAATGATGGTAATGATGATGATAATGGTAACTATAACAATGATAATGATAATAATGATGATGAAGATGATAACGGTAACAAAAAAAATGATAGTAATAATAATAATGATAATAATAATAATAGAAATAACAATGATAGTAAGAATGATTACAATGATAATAGCAATAATAAAAATAATAACAATAAAGATGATAATGATATTGAAAAATTTGTTAATAATGATAATACTAATGAAAAATGTGTTGATAATAATGGTAGGTGTTGCATTGGCAATAATAATAATAATGATAATAACAATCATAACAACAAAGATGATGATATTGAGAATGATAATAGTAATAATAATAATGACAATAGCAATCATAATGACAATAGTAATAATGATAATGATAATAGTAATAATGATAATAATAACAATGACAGTAACAATAACAATGGCAGTAATAATAGTAATGACAGTAATAGGAATGATAAATATAGTAGTAATAATGATAAGAGGGAAATAATAAAAAAATAATGTTAATACATATTAGCAATTATTGCCATCATAATATCATAATAAATTAATAATGATAATAATAGTAATGTCTGTTTCTCTGTCTATCTATCTATCAATCTATGTCTGTATATATATAATATCATCATATCACCAATGCGGTGTTTGAGTAGTTACCTTCCACTCTGACGAGGTAAGTGGTGGTTCGCGGCCCTCGAGATCGCTTACAAGCTCTGCCCAAATGACACCTTGACTCGGTGTCCTCATGCTCAGAGCGGATGTTTGAC